TTATTATTATTATTATTATTATTATTATTATTATTATTAAGACAGGAGGAGAGGAGTCGAATTTGAAACTTTTTTCAACATTAAGCTTTAAGTTCGTACCCACTAAACCAAGAGGGAGATTCTCATTCCTTTAGGATTAAGATACTGTTAACTGAATGAAGTGTACGTTATGGTTAAAGTTTGTAACGGATGCTAAATCAGAAGTAGAAGCTACAATTCTGCCTTGGGAAAAAGTGATGAAAAGTCTCTGCCTATAACATCTATATGCTTCAGCCTCGTGACCCCTTTGGCAGGCAATGCATTATGCATGGTCCAACGCAAAAAGGGCACATAATTTGTCAAACTCTTTGAATGGGACGTCTCTCTACCCCATAACTATGACCTTTAGCTCTCAAAGGACATCTTTTCTTGACTTTGTTTTCCCATCTTCAAATTGCTTAAAAACAAGGACTAAGCAAAACAAAAAGGCCAATTTGGTATCTTCTTTTGAGCCCAGCATGAGCAAATGGGTTATTTGTGAATGCCTGGTCCTTTTTAAATGGACGGGCCTGTGCATTTAGGCCCACCACACACGTGTCCAATTTGATGCATGGGCTTCAGATCCAAAAAAAGATGCGTTGAATTTGTTTAACTATGTGAATGGACAAAGCGCAGAAGTGAGTTAGGCTAGTTGGTCAGAGCAGTGAGTCCATTCTTTTGTACTTAAGCTCGAGTCATTCTTCTCGTATATTAGATTAATTTAGAGTAATTTATACTATCGTTTATATAAAAAACGACCAAAAAAGAAAAAGACAAAGCAAATGTTTTGCAAGATTTTGGTTAGAAGGTGAGTGGATTAAAACTCCAGCATATCAGTGCCTGGAAAAAATGGGCCTTTTTGGCAGCAATAGTTCAAAACATGGCACAGATGTTTCCCTGTTTCAATTGCCACCTGTTTATAAAGTTATAACGTGCAAGGTATGAGTATATGACACCGTTTATGATCTAACACCAATTCCTTAAAAGTGAAGCCTAATATCTCATCCAATACAGACTTTCATGTGTTGAAGGAAAAACTAAAAAGCAAAGCCTAAAAGCAAATAAGTGTGTGGGTCTCCACTTCTAAATTTAGAAATAATAATAATAGAAGTAAAGAACACCTCTTATGAAGCCTCTTGCCTTTAAGCAATACACTTTGCGTTTCAGCAACAAACAACAAAAACCTTGTAAGCCCCGAACTTCGTGAACCTGATCTCATCAGCCCTCCCTCTTTGTGACAACTTTAAACACCATGGTCTGTAACGGTCATGAAAGCTTGATGGGCAGTTAGCACAAAAATGAAGCCTCTTGATGGACATTTGGCTAACCCCAAAAAGCTTTCTTTCATCTACTTCGAACCTCTATGCACGAAACCAAAAATACCATTCGGTAGCAGCTTTGTCTCAATTTCAGTTCCAGTTTTAGGTTTCTCTTCCTTGCAAGGCATGACTAACTACTCTTCCCTCCCTTTACCTCCACTCTTTTCATTTCTATTCTCCATCTATATAACATTGTTCCTCCCAACAAAAATTCTAAAACAAACCAAGAAAAGAGACCAAAACATTTAGGGAAAAGAAGCTTCAAGCGTTTCTGGTCAATGGAGATCAAGATACAAGCTGAGGAAACCCGGCACCGGCCTGATGATGAACAAAAACTTCCCCTCTTGCAAGATATGCCAAAGTCCGTAACAGAGGAGGAAAGAACCTTGATACAGAAAGCCATTCGCCAGACGTTTCAAAGCACAGCTCATTTGGCCAATCTTTTACCAACCGGAACAGTTCTTGCATTTCAGCTTCTAGCACCCATATTTACAAACCAAGGCAACTGTGACTCAGTCAGCCGGTCCATGACTGCTGGTCTTGTAGCCCTCTGTGGAGTTTCATGTATTCTACTGAGCTTCACTGACAGCTATAGAGACAAGAATGGAAATGTCTGTTATGGCTTTGCTACATTCCGAGGGTTATGGATTATCGATGGGTCAACCACCCTTTCACCCGAAGTTGATGCAAATTTCCGACTGCGGTTTATAGATTTCCTCCATGCCTTCATGTCAATACTTGTATTTGCAGCTGTTGCACTATTTGATCAGAATGTAGTGGATTGCTTCTATCCAACCCCGTCGGATAAGGCTCAGGAGATTCTCACAGCATTGCCAGTTGGCATTGGTGTCATTTGCAGTATGTTGTTTGTTGTGTTTCCAACCAAGCGCCACGGAATTGGCTTCCCCCTGTCTGCAAATTAACAACTCCTCTTTTGTTAATTAAGAAATATTTGCCTGCGTGCTCCTTAAAATTGTGGACTGCACACAACGTTATTTATTCATTCTTCCATATTAGCTTCCTCCAAGCTCTGTCAATGTCAGTTATATGACAAATCTTTTTGTTTGTAAATCCTAGTTCCACCTTTAAAGAAATAACTTTTAAACACCTCGATTCTTGACCGGATACTGATTTAACAAATGCTTGTCATACTTATTTATCTTGTATGCCAAAGAGTGTAGTACATGAGTGAGGTATGTGAATAATAGGAAGAACAATTCACTTCGAGATTGTCAACCAAATATATTTCATGGTTAATATACAGAGCCAGTAACTTATAATTTCATAAAAAGAAAAAGAAAAGGCAATGTGGTGAACAAACTTTCATGACCAGAAAGAAAATAAATGAAACGTGTATAAGAGCACTCACTAGCTCAAAACTTTCAGATTTATGTTTCAGGCTCAACCATTTCGCTCATCAGCTCAGCCTGCAACAACTCAGCAGGTTCACGCACCTTCCTGCGATTCCAAAACCCATCCACCATGGAACTCCATATTCCCTCATCCGGAACACATCCTTCAAGCACCATCTCATCAACAATTCGATAAGCTTTGTGCAGGTCCCCTTTTTTACAGATACACTTCACTAGAGTATCAAATGTCTTCATATCTATGGAGATACCCCTGGAACGCATGCTAAGATACAGCTGACAAGCTCGATTTGGATTGCCGCTGCTACACAAGCCCTGGACCACTGCATTATGAATCCTTACATGAAGGCTCCAAGTTAGTCTGTTAGGTGAAACTCCTCCAAGGACCATCTCATCAAGAAAGTTTGCAGCTTCCTGGAACTTGCTAATGTTGCAAAAGCCACTAATTACTTTCCCATACAGCCCTGCATCTGGTTTCAAGCCTTGAAGCTTCATCCTGTCTAGAATCTCCAAAGCTTCTTGAAGCTTTCCTTCTTCACAGAGTCCATGAAGCAAAGTACTATAAGTGATATTGTTTGGCCTATGGCGCTTACGAACCATTAAGTCTAATAGTTCCATTGCTTGTGAAGAACGCCCACCCTTGCAAAGTCCATCCATCAAAGAGCTGTAAGTAAAGACATTTGGAGTAATACCTTTGGTTTTCATGTGTTCAAACAATCCCACAGCTTCATCCAAATTTTTGGATTGGCAAAAGCCGTGTATCAATGAAGTATACGTAACAACAGAGGGCAAACAACCTTTTGTTTCCATTTCATTGAAGAGCTCTTTTGCTTCACCAATCTTTCCTAACTTACACAATCCATTGATCAAAGTACCATATGTATAGGAATCTGGGGTGCACCCATGATTGGGCATCTCACGAAATATTCGAATAGCTGCATCCATGGAACTACTGTTCTTACAAAGGGCTTTGATCAAAATATTAAGCGACACAACGCTAGCTGGAATGCCCGTTTCTCTCATATACTTGTAGAACCTGAAAGCAATCTTTAACTGGTTTTCTTCAACAAGAATGCCAAGTATGGTAATGTAAGATTTCTGGGTTGGTTTGCACTGGAAGTCCTCCATTTTGTGGAAGACCCTGACAGCATCCAGTGGCCTGTGAACGCGGCCATATCCTCTGCAAACAGAGAGGAATATATCTTCTGTAACACCACATTTCTCCTCCTTCATCTTATCAAGTAACGCCTCAGCTGACCTGAACTGGTTCGCGGAGACTAATCTAGCGACCATGAGACCAAAGGTGGTGTGATCATGCCGGAAGCCATTGGTGTACTCGGCTGTTGCGGAATCAAAAATGAGAATAGCTTTCTGTATGTCCTTTTCAGCTTTTATCAGCTGCTCAACTTGGGAAGTCGTGATTTGCTTCGACCATTTAAACAAAGTTTTGCTGCCCATTGTATTGGCAGCACTCTTTCTCAATAAGACAATATCATTCACTCCCAATTATGTTTCAGTTTTGCACAATAAAAGCTTTGCCTGCAAATCTCTGAATCAATTTCTACATTTCTACAAACATAAGAGAAAAATGAGACAAGAACCAGATAAAAAGAACTACCCACGAACAACATGAATCGATTAGCAGTAAAATTCAAGCTAAGCAGCCACCTAGTCTAAACTCTGTGGGGCATTTCATCAAACAGATGTCGTCCCGTAGCACCAGTCTTAGGCGGGAACTTTAAATCACACAAGAATTTTGAGGGGAAAGTACAAATTTAGTTGTAACAGAAGTAGCAGCAACCTTACCTGCTGACTGATTGTCATGAAATTGTTTTTCTCTTTCAGACTCATCGTATTTTCCCGACGTCTTGGGCGGTCCCTGAATGGCAATGCTCAGCAGCAGAGGCTTTAGAAGGCCTAGGGCGCGAACACTTTACGACATTGGCAATTTGGATCAAAATGGGAACATGCAATGCAATGCTTCAATCAGGCCCGTAGACAAATGGATCGGGTCCATCGATAATTTACACTGTCATAGGCCCAATAAATGGCTAGTTTGAGTTTAGTTGCCAATGTTCTTCTGTATTGGGGTTTCAAAATCAAAATGCACCAAGAAAACCAACTTGTTATAAAAGATGCATTACCTATTAATTCAAGCATTTCATCTTCCGTTCTCTCAATCACCGGAATAGTATTTACTTAAGCCAAATTAACTATTATCTTCGGCCGCTAATTAACTCGTAATGTAATGATATTCTTCTTTCGGTTTCAAATTTGAATCCCCCTCCTCACTTAGTAGACTAGTAGTTGGGTTGGGACGGACTGCGGAAATAATTTTTTTACAGAGACAAACAGTTGCCTTCTCGTGAGAAGAGTGAATAAAAAGCAAAAACCCACCATATAACAACATCACGGACGGATTTGAGTTTGACAGTTCATCACATATAAGAAAAATAAAAAAAAGCCATTAAGAAAACAAAATCGATAAGAGGCTTACCAATCTTCGTTCGTTGCTCGTAAGCCTTACGCTGGGGATAAGATGTCCCCACCCCCCTCCACAGTCATATCAACTTCTTCCCCTATCTCCCTCACTCACTCTCCTCCATAAATATATCCCGTCCCGACCATAATCTCCCATACTCCCTCCCCCACCTCACCATATCCCGCCATCATCGACCTCTCCACACCCTCCGATTCACCATTTCAAGTTCTTCATCTAATCTCACTGGTGGATGCATTTTATTTAACTTGTCCCGCCTCGTAACAGATTATATCCCAGACGAACAAAAACAAAAGCAATTAACCGCCCTCCAGCACTCACTCCAAAACGGTGCGCATCATCTCTGTCTCTGCTGTGCTGTGTGTCTACTCTGAATCACCAATAAGAGCTCACTGCAGCTTCCCAAACCACATTCTCCACTCTTTGTCTCTGTCTCTCTCTGTCTCTCTCTCTCTCTCAGTTTACTCTCACTCCCCCAGCAATCATGGAGTCGCGAGTGCTATCACGCGCCACCGCATTCGGAGCCCTCCCCTGCCACCGCAAACCATCTCCCAGGGAAAACGCCGCCGTTTCGTTCGTCTCCGCTCGGCCGATCGGCGCCGTGAGCGAGGGCGGGAACCTCATATGGGGGAGGCAACTCCGCCCCGCTCTGCTGCTCGAGGCCTCGCCGTTGAAGAGGGAGATTCTCCGGCCTTGCCTCGCCGCCGCTTCCTCTCCGACCGAGGGAAGCGATTCCGCCGGGTGAGGTCCGTTTCCTCCGTTCCGACTCGGTCTGACTCGCCCGTGTCGGCCTCCGGACTAATGATTTTTTTCTTTTTTGCCTTTTCTGCCTGACTCGGTGCTCTTAACAGGGACGCGAAGGTCGCGCCGCTCGGGTTCTTCGACAAGTACCCGGCTCTCCTCACCGGCTTCTTCTTCTTCATGTGGTACGTTTCTTTATAAACTTTTCAAGCTTTTCTTCTTTTGGAGAAATATTTTGTATGTGAAATTACGGAGTTGTCCTTGGCGCGTAGGTATTTTCTGAATGTGATTTTCAATATCATGAACAAGAAGATCTACAATTACTTCCCGTATCCCTAGTAAGTGTGCCATTTTCAATTTTCGTTACCTATAATTCTTGTAAACAAATAAATGAAAATGCGTAGGATAGCATATGTGTTCATGTTCAGGCGTAATTTAGCTGGTTCTAGCCATTTGAATTCGGTCTGTGTTCTGAACCTCTGATGAAGTGGGTTTGCGGTTTGTGTGCAGTTTTGTGTCGGTTGTGCACTTGGGCGTGGGGGTGGTTTACTGTTTGATCAGCTGGGCCGTGGGCCTTCCTAAACGCGCTGTAAGTGAACTCACTTCAGGCCCAGACCCATAATGCTAATCTCAGTCTGTTCAGTTGGCTGTTTATGTGACTGACTGGTGTTTCTTGTCTCCGTGCAGCCTATTGACTCAAACCAGTTGAAGCTGCTCATCCCTGTGGCCGTGTGCCATGCACTTGGCCACGTCACCAGCAATGTCTCATTTGCAGCCGTTGCAGTCTCCTTCACACATACCATCAAAGGTGAGAGAACAAATCTTATGCTCTCATATGTTTGGTACAATGACCAAAATTGTTCAATTGCACATTTAATTATTGCATTTTGACATTGAATTTGTTTGTTGCAGCTCTTGAGCCATTCTTCAATGCCTCTGCTTCGCAATTTATACTCGGACAATCAATCCCCTTGTCTCTATGGCTGTCCCTGGCTCCTGTTGTTCTTGGTATGCTCTTCTCTTTATGTTCATCCTGTTGTTGCAATCATACTATTGAAAACTATGGAAAATGTAAATCATGCAGATACCCAAAAACTATGAGCCATGAGAATTTATTCAGACTGTCTTTGCTCACTTAGTATTTACGTACTTTTAAAATGAAGGTGTGTCGATGGCATCGCTGACTGAGTTGTCATTCAACTGGACTGGCTTCATTAGTGCTATGATTTCAAACATCTCCTTTACCTACAGGAGCATCTATTCAAAGAAAGCCATGGTGAGTGGCTCTGGAACTTTAGCTAGCATTTTGTTTTGAATAGGACAGGACATGGGGAGCTAAAGATTGCTTCTTACTTGTATAACTTTTTTATTGGTTTTGCAGACTGATATGGACAGTACCAATCTCTATGCCTATATTTCGATCATTGCTCTTATTGTCTGCATTCCACCGGCTCTCATCGTGAGTAAAACTTACACTTGAGAACCCTTGAAGTTTGATTGTGCAACTGAAACAAAATTGTGATGAATTTTGGTTCAATGTCCTCTCTCATATCACAGGTAGAGGGGCCTCAACTGATTAAGTACGGCTTCAATGATGCAATTGCTAAAGTAGGTCTTGTCAAGTTCGTTTCTGATCTCTTCTGGGTGGGGTTGTTCTACCATCTCTATAATCAGGTACATTTGTTTTCTTTGCTTTCTATTGTAACTTATGGTTCTATGGCTTTGTAATAGTAGGAGAATAATCCTCTCAAAATAACTCAAATGTTGCCCAAGTTAATGATCAGTATCCTGTTATGAAATCATAAGAATGGTTATTGTTTTTTGAAATTATCAGTTGGCCACCAATACCCTGGAGAGAGTGGCACCTCTTACACATGCAGTTGGAAATGTGCTGAAACGTGTATTTGTGATTGGCTTTTCCATCTTGGTCTTTGGTAAGGCTCTTCTTTTCTTCAGCTTGGTTCTGCTTTTGCTTCTTCAACTTCCTTTTTTCTTTTGTACAACTAATTGCTACTTGCTGCTCACAGGCAACAAGATTTCATCACAAACTGGTATCGGGACAGCCATTGCGATTGCAGGAGTGGCAATCTACTCTTACATCAAGGCCAAAATAGAAGAAGAGAAGCGAGTAAGTCAGATATAGCTAAATTTAGCTCATGCATGTGGCAGTTAGTCTCTTGCAATCCAATTCCATTAAATAAATTTATCTGTCTAATATTATTGCTCTTCTGACCCTTTTTTTGGTTCCAAAAACCCAGCAAGGGAAAGCTGCATGAGAAGAAGGGAAGAATGGACATGGAGGGAACTTTGCATTGTAAATTTCATAAATTCCCTTCAGAAGAAATGGCAAATTGAGTATCTATCTATTATCCATGTTATAGTTTATTTCCCCCTTCCCGCGTTTTTTTTCTCCGATTGATTGAGAGCACAAAGACATTCTAATTTGCAATGGTCTCATGTTGACTGGAATTCAATAATGTATCAATTTTTATCTTTCTCACAATGAGCTCTTCCTATGGATGGAAGCCCAAAAAGGGTCAACAGAATGGAGATTTTATATTTGAGTGAATAGATTGCTATCTGTATCTAGAGACATGCTTGAACTGCCAATTTACATGTTTTGCGTAGATCTTCATTCATTCAAAAGTAAAGTAATGCATTAGAAAGTATAGGAAATATACACATGATATTTAAGACGAAGAATTTATTTCTTTGTTCAAGTTCATTCTCACTCCCACTCTCATTTCTGCTCATAAGTTTTTTTATTAGAATCGCGTCGAACTTGAGAAAGTGGCTCAAAGATATTCTGCTTTCATGTGACCAAATTGAGAGGGCAAAAACTCACTCTAGACCCAAAAACTCTTGCCTTAGGAATGGAGAATATTGAGGTTTAGCCACCCAAAGGCAAAGGGGGTAAAGGATAAGGACCTTACCAGCTATCTCTCAAGTCCTTAAAAAGATGGGTTAGAGATTCAAGTGGACCACTACAGTTAGAGCAAGATTTATGATATCCTCTGCTGATGTCTTGTAGCATTTTTGCTCACTGGTGAGAAGCTTGCCACGAGCTCAGAGCCTAAGACCCAAAAGGAACATTTTGATCTTGTTCGCATCTTTCAAATCAGGCAGCTAAGTCTCTGCTGGCATTCAATGATCATTTAGTATGGAAGCTGTGAAATTTGGAAAATTAAATTTTTTTTAATAACACAATGAAGACTTGTAATTTTTTTTTTCTTCCAAGATTTAGAAAAATAATCGCTCGAGTTGTACTCGAGCATTACTCAAACTCTTTTCGAGCAATGCTCGAACATTCAGAAATGGTTAAAATTATAACGACATGTTTTTTTCTCTGATTAAGAAATTATAACAACATATTTACTTTTTTTTTTTTTCCGAAACAACATATTTACTTACTAAGAATGAAAAAGCTAGAAAACATAAAAGTCGAAAATTTGTTGTGGTACGACTTTTTTTGGTAGTTAATACATGCCCAGCTCAGAAAGCCCAGCCCAATGATTTCGAAAGCGGACAGCGGGGCCCGCAACAACACAAACCTGAAAGACATGCTCGATCATCGCAGCCGAAGATCGCATCCAAAGATCACAAAGAACCCAAATTAACAACCAGACAGAAGCCTTCGAAATCAAACACACACGCACAGTTGCAATAACATTAGAGGTCATCAATAAAAAAAACATAAACAAAAATTACAAAAAAAGAAAGAAAAAACTCGTACAACCTTAAAAATTGAAAAGTCAATCGAATTAAAAACAAACACGAAGAGAGAGTTTTCGGCATCCGCTCGCTGGAAATAAAAAGAACAAAAACAAAAACAAAAGAAATTCATTTTTCTTGGTTGGAACTTGGGTTCGTGTTTTTAGCCAGCCCAACCACGCAACATTGAAACTGAGAAAAAGGCCTCGTATCGTTTGACACAACCAAGTATGAAAGTACCATCGAATTAAAAGAAAAAAAAGGCAACAAAAACAAAACAAAGACCGAAAGAAAAGAAAATAGAAATAGAAAAGTGAAAAACAAAAAAAATAAGAAAATTATGGAAGGTGGAATTAGAGTGAGGAAAGACTGTTGGTTTTATGTTCCTGATTTTGCCTTTTCCTATTTTTTGATATTATTCTTGTTATTGATGTTGTTGTTGTCATATTTTCATGTCAATCCCCGAAATTCACATTTATTTTATTCATGTTATTCTCATTATTCCATCATGATAATTCTACGCCT